TCGGGGTATGGGTTATTCTACTCTGCACTGACAGGGGCCCGGGCTGTCCTATTCTGCACTGACAGGGGCCCGGGCTGTCCTACTCTGTGCTGATGGAGGCCCGGGCTGTCCTACTCTGCGCTGACACTGACAGAGGAGTTGTTAGAGGCCCTCACTGAGGGCGTTCACATCATCCGATTCAATTCATGAGCAGACTGAGTCACTTCCAGTGATGTGCAGAAAAATAGAAACAAATGCAAAATTGCCATTCAAACCCCAGAACTGCAATAGAAGGATTGTTCCTAATTACTGTATTGTGAAATAAATGGCTGGTTTGGGTTCTAACATCAGAGCTGTTGTGTGTTTTTGAAGCTATTTTGGAAAAGTTATCTAATTTGTTTGGCAAGTTTCATTGTAAGAGGGAACGGATAAATATTTACAGAGATTTTTAACCCTAGTCAAGCCCAGTGATTTTAATCCCTATTTAAAAAACGAGGTGTGTTTGGGGGGCATTTGTTTTTAAAAGCTTCTTTTAAATAGTGTAGCAATTTGCTAACAAAGAATGTGGATCTCCATTATTTTAGGCAGCATCTGGGACCAATCGTTAGCTGAAATTTACAGTGAGGAGAAAGACGGAGGGAGCGACTACTTCAGTTTACAGAATTGGAGGTGGGAAGAACAGAGGGCGGGGTCCCCCAGGAGCTCAGTGCCTGGAGAAGTCCTGCGGGGGGGAGGGTTTGGAAGGTCATTCATCGTGGAGAAGGGCCGAGTTGGTAATGTTGCTTCTTATCCTGGTTCTCTGAGTCGGCTAGTACAGTGTCACGAGTTTTGGCTTAGCTTGTCATTCAGATCTCAAAGATAAACCAGCAGCATTCCCTCCCTGCCCAAACGTCTTGTACTTTAGAAATAAGTAGTCACTGAGGGGAAGCAGAAAGGCTCAGTGGAGGGCTTGTGCAGTGGGAGTCACGGGGCAAGGTGGACTTCTCGAGAGGGCGAGCCGCGTGAGTGCCAGGTGCACAAGCGCCGTATGGACAGTAGCGGTGTGACTCTTCCCATTAGCCCTCCCAGTCACCACACTCTGCGGAGTCTGAAGAACGGACTCCCAGCAGGGCCCAGAGCATGTGGGTCTTCACGCCCTCAGTGCCGTGGGTCAGGTGGCTACTGTGTCTGCCCTGGCCGTTGGGGTGGGAGTGGGGTCGAGGGATGGACCTCAGATGGCCATGTTCCCCTGGGGAGAAGGGGAGGGGTGGAAGATGAGCAAGACATACACACGTTATGCAGGCTGTGTTGGGGGTACTGAGCAGGGTGGGTAGACCACCAGGTTGTGGCTCAGTTCAGAGGTGGTGGCCCGTTGTGGGGCTGGGGTCTCCTAGGAGACAAGGGTGAGAATTATGGTATTTGGAAGAAGTGAGCTTCTTCCCGTTATGTGTCCAAATTTGCCAGTATCTCTCCACCCCATCCCCCATAGCCTACCTCCTCTGTACGGTTCCCTTCCATCCTTCATTTCCACTGTGTGTGAAATCATTGTTTCAGCTGCTTAATTGATGAAGGAGGCTATTATGCAGTAGCTTGAGAATCCATGCATTGATTCTAAATTACCAGCCTTATGAAATTTCCAAAATGTAAATTGCTTGTAAGTTAGAGATGAACTGTAGTTTATAGTCAGTCTTATTTTAAGTAAGATTTTAATAATCAGTCCTAACACAGTGTACAGTAGAAACTATAACTCATGAGCTATTGTGAGCATCAGGAAGGCCTAAAACCTTGGTGAAAAAGGAGTGTCATTGTAAAAACTTATGAGGAAGATACATCAGTCAGTCCTCTCCAGAGGAGCAGGACCAATAGGATGCGGATAAACACGTACGGTGATTTACGATGAGGAAGTAGCTCATGTGACTGTAGAGGCAGGGAAGTCCCCCGGTGCAGTCTGGGGGCCAGAGATGTTGTTCTCAAAGCTGTCTGCTACCAAACACGTGTACACAAACTCTCTGGTGAAGGAAGTAGTGTCTAAAGAGATCATGTAGTGTACCGGGATTGGGCAAAAATGTTAATTTTGTTCATTTACGAAACAAAGGGAATGTGGAAGTTGAGGTTTTGTTGCATGTGATGTGATGAGTGGGCCATCGCCATGCGATTCATGCCAAGGGTTCCTACGGTGGTAGTGGTGTTAATTTTATGCCTTTATTTTAAGAAATTAAGTCCGGAGAGACACTTGGCAAAGCTTGTATCTACTGGTAATTCTAGAAGTTTTAAAACTCCCTCCAGATAGGTAGAATGCACGAGGTGTGTCCTGAAAAAGCCCAGCCACTGTTAAGATAATGAGGACAGTGTGCACGACATGGATGTCACCTGGCAGCCAAGGAGAGTGGACCGCAATGCACATGCGTGAACAATGACGACTTCACTGTACTAGACAGTGGGGGCAGTAGACACCACTGAGTGAGCATGTGTACTGCGTGGCCATGGAATTAAAAATGACTGAGTGAGCATAGAGCAATGAATCTGCCACAAAGTTTGCATTAAGCTTGAATGTTCCTCCGAGGAAACTATTTGGATGATTCAGGAGGCTTTCGGGGTGGTGCAGTGAGTGCAATGCAGATAAAAGTGTGGCGTATACGCTTGAAACATGGCCGGGAATCTGCTGAATGGAAGTGGTCCACATTCTGGAAGGACTGCGGTCACCCAGGTGACTCAGCACCCCTTACAGCCCAGATTTGGCGCCCTGTGACTTCTGGCTTTTTCCAGAACTAAAATCACCTTTGAAAGGGAAGGGATTTCGGACTGTCGTTGAAATTCAGGAAAATACAATGGGGCAGCTGACGGCAATTCCAACAAAGGATTTCGCAGGGCGTTTTGAACAGTGGAGGAGACGCTGGGAGAGAACTGAGCGAGGGCCCGAGGTGCCCCGTCTCAAGGGGACAGAGGGGTCATCATCCTAGGTACAAAGTTTCTTGTGTCTTCTTCAATAAATGCCTCTGTTTTTCCTACCACGTGGCTGGAGACTTTCCGGACAGGCCTTTGTGTGTGACCGGAGGGGGAAAGGTACAGTTTAGACAGCTCACGGCCCAACCACCCCAGACCGTGTGGTAAATTACTTACGCCCCCCCCTGCCGTTTGCAGTTCCTTGGCTGGTGCCCCCCGTGCCTGACGAGGAGGTGGAGTTTCCGAGAGGCTGGCATCTCGGCCGTGGCCTCACAGCGACCACATGGGAAGACACGGCTCACACACACATCTCATGGCCTCGGCACCTCAGCACCTTGAGTGGATGGGCTTCCGAGAGGCTGTGTGACTGTGGTCACAGCGTGTGACTCCCGCACCCAGAGAAGGCTGCTGTGGGTGCAGTGAGGCTGGAAGGGAGGTGGCCCCCAGGAACGGCGTCCAGGCGGGCGGCGAGGGGTCGGAGGAGCAGACGCCGGCGGGGCAGGTTTCTGGCGGCTGTCGGGATTGGGACGCCAGCCCTGAGCGCTGAGCGCCGTGCGGGGAGCTCGCTGGGGAGGGGTGGGCCTCGCAAGATCACGTCCCGAGTGTCCGAGGCAGTTCTGGGCGCGGGCTTGTTCGGAAGCCTTTGGAATTGTGTCTGTCCCTCCAGCGGTCAGTCCCTTGTAAGGAGAGGTCCCTGGAAGGTACTCGAAGTAATCTGGGGCGTATGTAGACCCTTGTCTGGCACGTCACCGTGAGGCCACGTGGCACTTACGGTTACAGTTAGAACATGACATCGTGAACTAGTGCTTGTCTCAGGTGTGCTGACTTGGTTACCAGGTAGTTATTTCCATCCGTCTCATGGACTCGGGGCTATGTCTTCTGTCCTGTGTTTCGATTTCTGCTGTTAATTCTGTTTAGAGGTCATAAAGGTGCTTTCAACGTATCTAAAAACCCCATTACTTACTGGCACACTTTTATTTTTGACCGATTCGTGTGTTCTGTCGGGCTTCTAAAACACGTTCACAGCATTTAGAGTCATTTATTGGGGGGTGGTCAGGGCCGTGTTGACACCTCGTTAACTGGACCAGAATTCTGAAGTTCGTTCCCAAAGCTGTGGCCTTTTCAAAGTCAAGCACTCCAAGCATTGGCCGTCCTTTCCTTTGATGTGAACTACCAGTCGATTTCAGCACATGCCGTCGTCAAGGGACGCCTCCTCTCGTGTCACGTGTAGAGGTGCTTTTTCGCTACGTCTCGAATCTCGCCTCCTCCATGAGTCGAGCATTGTTATTTCTGGGAGAATCACGGGGCTCGTTCTCTCTAAAGATCCCTCGAGTTGCCCACGCTGGACTGACCCGCACACACGTTCCGTCTGGTGTCACATCCTGGTCCCGTCCAGCCCGCAAAGTGGCTCAGAAACAGAACCGCCTAGGAGCAGCAGGGAGGGCTAAGTGGTGGCCTCGTCCCCACCCCCTGCAGATGCAGTGACGGCTCAGGTGGGCCGGCACGGTCACGGTGGCTGTTCATTTAGTCCTGGGGGAGGGGTCCCACCATGACCCAATGTCACCACTGATCACTACACAGAAGGCTGCTTTTATGCAGCCACATATGGGGCTGGGTCCTGGGGACGCAGTGGTGAGCAGAGACTCTGTCCCTCCTCTTGAGGAGCGCACAGCCTAAGGAGAAGACATCTCCTTCAGTCGGTACGGCAGAAAGGCAAAGCAAGCTTCATGGCGGGAAGGAAATGCGTGCCCCCTTTACTGCTGAGTGTGTATCCATTAACCACCAGGGGCCAGCACCTGGGTGGCGGGGCGTGGACGTAGCAATGAACACGTGGGCAATGGTACTTTAGTAAATCCCTCATCCTGGGAACTCATGCTCAGGATACTTCTTTGACCGAGAAGTTGGCAAAGTCTATGAACTTAAAAAAGTCGACTCTTTGAAAATACATAGAATTAAAGTGTGGCCGTGCCTCCTCGCTGCCGAGGCGTGCCTCCCCGGCCCGCACTCGTCCTGCTCACTCCTGTTTCACGGTGAGCCGTGGCTCTGAGCGCCCCAGCTGCAACGGACAGTCTTCATCTCTTCTGTGTCGTCTCTTGCAGTCATCGCCAGCTTCCGAGGCACCGTTCCCTACGGGCTGTCGCTGGAAATCGGAGACACAGTCCAGATCCTGGAGAAGTGTGACGGTAAGGGCTGAAGGTGACTCTCCCTCGGGGTGGGGGGCACACAGCACCCCCCCCCCCCCCCCGCGGCTCCTAGCGCTTCCCTACGCTGTCTGCCTCCCTCCCTGCGGATCTGGGACTCTTCCAGGGGAGGTGGGTCCCCGTGACCCATGTCGGACAAGCCTTGTTCCCTGCACAGTCTGTGTTTGCTGTACGAGAAGGCACCCTTTGGTAGTTTTAAAGCTGATGGTGTTTTCTCCCTGATGTGACTTCCTTATGTTCACTTGGGGCCAGCATGGAAGGCGATCAAGATGACAGCGTTTGCAGGGGTCTCTGCCTCGGCCCCAGACTCGAAGGCCTTTCTTAGAATCCCGAGGGGCTGGCAGATTCCCCAGGACAGGAGGCCCAGAAGCCGCTCCCCTGGGGGGCGGGGGCAACCGGAGCCTGGGGGCGGGGGGAAGAGCCTGCCCGGGGAACTCGGCCCTCCCGTGGCAGCCCCCAGCCCGCCAGATGTGCCCTGAGATTATTCAGTGCATTTGGCATCTTAGTGGAATATAGTATATGAAATCCTAGGATTAGTGTTAGTTTATGTAGCAGGTTACTCCTTAAATCGACATACCTAACATATTCCCGCATGTTTCCATTCCTGTTCTGCCAAGCGTCCTTAAGCTTTCGTCTTTACAAAGGTCCTAGGTAAAATGACTATTCTTTGTTAACAGCATGAGCACAAAGTCCCATCAGTATATCCTAAAATACTCACTTTTCCCCTAACCTGTTGTCTTTATTAGGGATTTGTAATACGATAATATTCTATTGTATCAAGGTTCATTATTGATGAAATTGGGTTCCCCCACACAGAGCTGTTACGTTTAGTTAGAGCCTGGTGAGACGTGGCCGTGGGCGTTTGTCCTGGCTCCTGCCATGGACACCTTTAAAAATGTAACGTTTTCTCTGGCTGTGCCAGATGCATTTTGTCCGTTTCTACTTTGCATACAGATACATAGAAAATCTGTTTTGAGTTAGTGCCTGAAGATGGGCTCCACAGCTAAGGGGAGCTATTTTGTCATCTAAAAACTTTCTGTTCCGCCTAACTGGACAGGTCTCTCCATGACATTTCTGCAGTTTCGAGAAGGTCGGCTTCCCTTAGAATAATTACTTAAGAATGGGTGTAGTTCTTGCATATGTCTTTAAGGGATTTAATAAACCCTAAGATATAGAAATTTCTGATTTGCCACTTACTCTTTTTTCTTCTTATTTTAAAACCATTAGGCATGATTTTTTTAATACTATCCTTAAAAAAACTTATGAGGAACAAAAATATTTAAACATAAAGCTCAATCATTTCTTTTTGAAAATGTAATTAATAAAAAATAATTCAGTAGAACATTTGCATGGTAAAATAATTTCTTACCAATAAGTAAAATGGGTTCTCTACTTGAAACTGTACATTGAAAACATTACATTTCTAGGGGGCTGTACGTTAGCCCTATACACTTACATACATATATACCCTGTACTTGTTTTACAAAAAGGGCATGTTTCCCCTTCAGGGCCGCGCTGCCACACTGATTCGGCATTGCCAGGATGTTGAGTAACAGGCCTTCTACAGAAGGAAAGTGATGGTGCGCTTGCTTGGTCGGTCCCTGAGCCGATGAACGAGAGTATCATTCATTCTCTTTGTGAATGAGACTTGGCTTCACTGTTCCTGTATTTTTTTTTTTTTTTTAGATTTTATTTTGTATTGGTTTCAGGTATGCAGCATAGTAGTTAGACAGTCGTGCATGTCACAGAGACGTCTCCAGCACCCACCTGGCCGCACCCACAGTCCCTGCGGCAGTACTGACTGTCTTCCCTGCGCTTCTCTCGACTCCTGGCGCTGGAGACTGGCTCCAGCCCAGGGCAGGGGCCGGAAGGACGCACCGACGCACTTTGTGCCTGTCTGTCGGCCAAGCGCTGGGCTTGGGTGGCGGGGAGTGGGCTTTGTACCCAGACAAAGAGGTTTGGGGGATATGTTAAGTCTTGTGCAGATTCTAGACTTTCCCTGAGACATAGCAAAGAACAGATTGATTTGTAATCATTTCTTTTCTTTGAAATATTACAATGGTTTCTTTAAGGATGACTCTGATTATTTCTTCACAGGCTGGTACAGAGGATTTGCCTTAAAAAACCCAAATCTCAAGGTAAAAAAAAATTATTACTTCTAACCACAATTGTGGGATTTTTAAAAAGTTATTTTACTTCCTTTCATTATCCAGTTGAAATTACACTTGGGACTCTTAGCTGAAATGCCAAATGACAACATGGATTTTCATAATTTGGGAAATTCCTTTGAACTTGGATTATAGTTAAAATATGCTGCTCAAATGGTAATCCTTTGTAGCTCTGGAAATTTGTACTGAGAAGACCTTCATAAGCTCATTATACACAAACAAAATCTTTCTGAAGCGTTCGTTTTGCAGAGGGCAAAATTAAACTTCAGGCAAGGGAAATACGTATTTCAAAAGAAATACTGCATCGAGGTATTTCATCATCTCTTCCGTGGTATCATTTGTGGAGTGTTGGGCTGGGGAGCGTGGTTTATCTCAGCGCTGCGGTAACAGTCCTTTGGGTTTGTACAGCTGAGGTGGTGGGCAGGGGTGCGGGCAACCGCGAAAGAACGGCTCATCTTTCTCCCATTCCAGACGGCAGCTAAGACTCATTGTCCTTCTCCTCTTTGTGTGAATACTGAGGAGTCACAGCAGTATGATTTTTGTTTCACCCTTCACAGTACGGCCAGTGGTTTTGACACTAATCTTTCCCTATACCTATGTTTTTCTACTTGATTCTAATCTCCGCAGCCTTCCAGCACACCCCCCACATTCTCTAGTGTTTTCTTATCTGCCATTCCCCTTTTTTGGTTGAATTATGACTTCGTGGGGATTGTAGATAAGAAATTGTGTGGTTTTTCTTTTGCCTGTCTTTCTCTGCCTTTTAACCTTTTTCTGGATGATACCACTTTGTTTAATTACTTTTTTATTTATTTTAGGTCATTTTAAAGGAAAGCCTGAGGGAGCAAAGAGTGTGCAGATTTAATTTTTTTAACACCGTAGCCCTCATTTAAAGTTATTTTTAGACATCTGCTACTCACATGCAAATATAGCTTCAGTATTTAATTATCCATTTAGAACTTGTTTGAGAAAAAAATCTATTAGACTTCTGTTATTTCTGTCATTCTTCTACTTCCAAATTCTGGATTTTTCTTTGTTAATTGTAATTACTCTCTTAATTTTACCATATTGAGATAAATTTAAATTTTGAAGGAAAAAAGTATTTTTTAGTCTATATACCTCTTTACTATTGTTTTGTATGTACAGAATTAGCTTATTAAATTTTATGTTATCCTTGGATCCACAACGGTGATAATGTATTCAAATGACATTTGTTTTTCTAAATATTTAATTGAATTTGTCATTTGATTATACATACAAGATCATTCAGAGGGTATTGTCATTTAATGGACAATAAAATTGATGCTTATCTTTTTAATGTTGTTTCTTTCAATGTCCCATTGAGCACAAAAGAACAATTTCCTTGTCCTGTCTTTTCCCGACAATGAAAAGCTTTAAGCCAGCGTGGCTCCTTTTGTTTAATTTTTGTTGCAAGGGAATGGCAGCCTGGTGATTAATTACTGCTCCGTTCTCATCAGAGAGCTTCTGGAGCACTTAATACACACATTGTCTCCAAATCACATTGGTATTTTTTTTTAGTGTATAACTTAAATACACACGTGAGTGTTTTGGAGAAAACAACCAAAACAAACAAAAAGAATGACCTTTTTTTCTAAACCATGCAATATTATTTTAAAAATCTTATTCAATGTGACATGCTTCTTAGGCAGAATTCCTGAAAAAAATTGTAAAGTTTCTGTCTTATAAAAATATATTTTTGAGTGACATTTAATTTTTCTACTTAATTTTTATTGTTCACCCTATTACAGATGTCCGTTTCCTTGCCTTTGCCCCCCCCGCCCCTTCCTCTGGCCATCCCCACTCTCTTGTCTGTGCCTGTGGGTTATGCATGTATGTTCTTTGGCTGACCCCTTAATTTTTAAAATTATATTTGTTTGAGAATCTTAAATTTGGAAGCTAGTGAAAAGGAGAGAAGGCCAGGAACAAGCCTGAGCTCTGGAATGTGGTGGAGATGTTGTTTCCGTCTAGTCCCGATATCGTTATGTTGTAGGCTGGGTCCCGCACATGTGACTTGCGAACCGAACTTGGCCTTGACAGACTGCTCGCACAGCAACCTCCCTGTTTTTCTCTTCCAGGGTATCTTTCCTTCCAGCTACGTCCACTTGAAAAATGCCTTTGTGAAGAACAAAGGGTAAGGCATGAGTTTTATTAACCGCTGGGGGATTCTCGCAGAACCATCGCTTATTTTGAAACTTGAAAAGCTTGGTGGATTGTCTTGACCGATGGACAACACAAGAGCACGCCATCGGCTGTGCTGTCTGACAAATGCGGGTTGCACTCAGCAGTCGCTGGGGGGGATGAGAGAGCCACATCGGCGTGCACCGGACAGCGGCGGCATGCAGGGCACCGTGGAGGCTGCTCGCTGTCCCCACGGCAGGGCGGCAGCCCAGCCCGGCGGTGCAGGGGCTGGTCCTCCTGGGCCTCTGCCGTCGGGAAGCGTGGTGGTCAGACCCATCAAACGCTGAGTCACGTCCCAAACCCCAGGAATGCCCTGGGCTCCCCACTGATCGTAAGCAGCGAAGTCTTGTCTCTCTCCTTGGAAATGGTGCCCTGTCCTCGGGTGACCCCTCCGCAAAGAGGCATTATTGTACTTCCGAGGACTTCGTTTCTGTGATACTTTTCTCGGTTGAGTTCATCGATCGCCTAGGATTTTTCATGCATTTTAAAAGTCTCTCCAGTCTTATTTTCAAAGGACGCAAGGCAGGTGTGGGGATCACAGGTCAGTCAAACAAAACGCCCCGGAAAAAAGCCGCAGCGCCGGCTCATCGACGTGGCTAATGTGAGCGGGGCAGGGTGAGGGCCCTGGATTTGGGTCAGAGCGCCAGCCGCCAGTGTCACAAGGAACGTGTACTGGATTGTTGAATACTTTTTATTTCATGACCGAGCAAGGAATACAGGTTCAGCCATAAAAATTACATTTTTCTCTCGAATAGCAAAACATAGCCGCTTTTCTGGATTTTGAAAGCACATTATAGAGCATGGTAAGTGAGATCTTTAAACTCGAGGCTTAGCAAAACAATTCCAAGGATGCTATTTAAGTGGATGGTGCTGATAGCCGCTCTCTGCAAAGGAGCATTAAATCTTAGTGCAGCGCGGTAACGGCCGCACGTGGCCGAGAGTCACGGTGTAGCCGTGTTCCCTGGGAGGATTGAACTTAGACTGTAGGAGACCCTTATACTAGATGTCTTAATTACTGGAAGCAGCGTTCTTGTTTTTAGTGGAGTTATAGTGGCCATCACTTAACACAGTAGATGAAAACCGTAATTCTAGTGCCCTGTGCTAATAGTTACCACGGCTACTTCTCGTGTCACAAATGTGTTCATCGGAGATGTTGTGTAGCCGCAATCCACCAGCAGTGAGTCCGGACGAGTGACTCATTCTTGGGGCCTTCTCCCCCAGGCGTGCTGGAGCAGCGCCCAGCCCTCCCGCAGTCTCCAGAGGACAGTCCACGGAACACGCTGGCCACAGGCTTCCTCTTCCTCCTGACCTATCACCCCAGTCGTCTGGGCTGGGCCACGTGGAAACCCCAAGGTCTCGACCTGGTCCCACAGTGGGGGGCCCTCCCGGGCAGACCTGTGCAGCCAGGCTGCTTTGCTGCCTTTGTCTCAATCCCCACCCCGACCCCACAGTTTTACAGAGCACAGGGCCACCCAGCCTCCCCGCCCCCCATCCGCTCTGACTACAGAGGACATTATACAAGAGAACTTTGGGGTAGAACCAAAATTTATTTTCTAAAAAAACAAAAACAAAAACATGTTGGCATCAAGACCCTTGATTCTGGGACTGTCAACGGGAAGCAAAACTTGAGCCTGAAACCAGCGAAGCACAGTCTCCCAGGGGGCTTGCTTCCCTGGAGAGGGCGCTGGTGGCCTGTGGACATCCCGCCTCCTTTTCAGGGGACCAGCAGCCCGGTGGGCCGCCGGGGTGTGGCAGCCGCAGAGAGCATCTCCGAACCGCTGGACGGAGCCTCATCCCCGGGGCAGCTGCTAGCGGCAGGCTCCGTGGAGCCTGATTTTGGTTTTGGGATAATTAACCGGAAACAGCTGCCTCCCCTAAAACGGCAATTTTGTGCTTCTGGGAAATTTACATTTTGGTTGAACAAACCCAAATCAGCTTCCTGCAGGCGGAATTGCCTCTGCGCTCTCACCTGCCTGGGTCGTGGGGGGCTGTAGGACGGAGGGGTCCTTGCGGTCGTGTTAGAGCTGGTGAACGGCGAGGCCCCGTCGGGACTGCTCATCCCTGCGCGGGCTGTGCCCCTTCTGAGAGTGAAGCGGGCTGTGGCGAGTTCCTGGAAATTCGCTGCATCACCTCCACCCCCGAAGAGTCATCGGCGAGATCGCAACAGTCCCTCCGAAAGCGGAGTGAAGGAACGCACAGCCACTTGGAAATGGCACCTGCAGGCTTGACGACGAGTCTGAGTGTGTGTCGCAGGTCATGGACTGTTGTTCACGTTCCTTCCAGCTTCACACCTGCAGCTGTGTGGGGGCTGCAGGAGGGAGGGAATAGCCACAGGGCGAGTGTTTTGGCAGCAGCCTGGAGTGGGGCGATGAGGCTCTGCTGGGGAGGAAATCGGGGCGGGATTTCAGTTCCCATAGAGACTCAGCAGAAGGTAGTTGTACCCGCTTTGGACATAGCGTGCAAAAGGAGCTGCAGAGCATCAACGAGCCTCATGCTAAGCAGTCTTTTTCCTGGGTCAGAGCCCCATACGCTGTTATCTTCTAAGGAGGAGACATTGTCCTTGGGGGAAAAAACTCAAATGAAACTAATCCTCATCAATATAGTTGGTAGCATTCTTTTGAGAAGCGGTAGTAATAACCACTTAACCATTTTAACCTGCGTAAAAACGGGAGGAACCTGAGAAAAGAAACTTGAGATGAAGAAAAAGGTTATGGTAGGCACGGAGAACAAGTCAAGTCCTTCTGTCCCCCACCCCCAAATCTCCTTATGTATCCGCTCCGCAGTGGGACCCCACCTTACTAGATTCTGGGCTGAGTGTTTTCTGAGTCAAGTTGCTGATTTCCAGAGAAGAAACAGGGAGGATACATTGCTCTGATCACAGAGAGAGACATTTTACAGTGGATTCGCAAACGCCTGCGTAGGCTTGAGCCCGGCATACGTCGGACAGTGCACGGACGCATCACTGATAGGTGACGTCATTCTCCAGGGCCCCAATCATGAACATGAAGTGGTAATGACATCCCAGGAGTGTCAGTCAGTACCTGGTGTCTCCCGAGTTGGGGTGTTTGCAGCCGTCAGATCGCCATCGGTGAACCAAGCGGGTCACACCCTCGGGGCCGTGGGAAGCAAAACCCCCGCCCCAGGAAGGCAAGCCTGGTGGTCTCACGGTGGCACAGGCGAGGCCTCAGGGGCCAGGATTAGAGCTTCAACAAGCTGCTGTTTCGTGGTCCGGCGCTGGACTCTTCTGATGTGGCTGCTTTGTCACCGCCCTCCTTGACTCTGTCTGGGCAGCGTGGCTGGTCCCTCTGGGACAGCACTGCTGGAACCCACAGGGCGTGCCGCACACCAGGTCAGAACCAGCCCCGGTCACTGTCCCCAGAACCCGGACTAGAGAGGCGGCTTCCTTTCCTAGTTTATCTCTCAGGGTGTTCCAGAGCAACTGGTTGTCCCTGATATTTGCATATGGACTTCGTTTTTCTTTCTTAATTCCACAGACAGTTTGAAATGATCATCCCCACTGAAGACTCTGTCATCACAGAAATGACCTCGACGCTGCGAGACTGGGGAGCCATGTGGAAGCAGCTCTATGTGGTAGGTCCCCTCCCGACAGCGTGGTTCTTTCGACAGAGAATTGCTTTAAGCAATAGCTGAATGGGACCCTGGCTGGGGTGGCTCAGTGGACTGAGCGCCGGCCTGAGAACTGAACCAAAGGGTCACCGGTTCGACTCCCAGACAGGGCACAGGCCTGGGTTGCGGGCCAGGTTCCCAGGAGGGGGCGTGTAAGAGGCAACCACTCGTGGATGCTTCTCTCCCTCTCTTTCTCCCTCCCTTGCCCTCTAAAAATAAGTAAATAACATCTTTAAAAAAAGAAAAAGCTGAGTAAGAGGAAGCAGGGACCAGTGTTGGAGCAGCTGCTCTGCGTCCCCAGTACCTCCCCTCCCTCCCAGGAGTCAAGGACACCGAGCAAAAGGACAGCCTGCGTGCGCTTGCTCCCCGCCTGCGCCCTGCATGGGCCTGCGAGTTCTTCTCCTGGCCAGGGGAGCGCAAGACATCCTTTTTCCGGCATCTGATCAAAGAGGGTGTTCTACAGGGGACCAGTGTCAAGCTTTCTGAAAATATTTAAATTTAAGGGAGACATAGACTTATTTTCAACATAATTTTCATATCGGTGGCATTTTATTGTATTTTAATTTGCTGTCTCCTTCACATGTACTGAAAGCATTAGACTGCTCACCCAGAATCAATGAGAATTTTCTAAATGGACCATAAGAAGGAATGTTTCTTGAATAATAAAAAAAAGGGGGTGGAGTGTTCTGGCAGCCTCTGTGTGGGTACTGGCTCACTCTCTAGAGCGAACCACACTGAGTGCCGTGGGAGCACTCTGTCCGCAGTATCTCACCTGACCGCCCACACCCACTGGAGACGACAGTGGCCCTGACGACCCCAGCTCACCGCGAGGGATGGGAGGCGGCCAGCCGAGGGCGTGGTCTGGGCTTGGGTTCTTTTTTTTTTTATTAATTTCATTTAATTTTTTAAAAGATTTTATTTATTTATTTTTAGAGAGGGAAGGGAGGGAGAAAGAGAGAGAGAAACATCAATGTGTGGTTGCTGGGAGCCGTGGCCTGCAACCCAGGCATGTGCCCTGACTGGGAATCGAACCTGCGATGCTTTGTTTCGCAGCCCATGCTCAATCCACTGAGCTATGCCAGCCAGGCTGGGCTTGGGTTCTGACGCGGTAGAGCCCCCACTGGCAACCGCTGGATATGCAGAAATTTGAGGATGCTAAGTTCTTTTTTTTTTATTTTCAAAAGGAGGTATAGAACAGCTTAAACATCTGGACAGATGTGTTCAAAATACAAAGGTGTTCTCACCCTGACGAAGCCACTTGAAAAGCCTGCCCAGGAGTGAGCCCAAAGCGGCGAGGGACAGGGGCCGGAGGGACAGTTTGCGTTGTTTGTTCCGCATGATGTGTAATCGACATTTGATTGAGGCAAGAGTCTTAAAAAGTCCCTAAGACAAACCCTTCTGGTTTCGGGTTCATCTGACCGGGCCCAGTGGCTTTTGGACTCGATAGCAGAGTCCACGGGGCAGTCTCAGAGGACACGCCGGAGTCCCCGCTGGGCTGGAATGCAAGGGCCAGGGCACCGAGCTCTGGGCGGGGACGCTGCCGAGGGGACGGAGGCCTCCTTTGGAGATTAAAAAAAAATAACATGTTGGAATGAATGTAAAATCCACGTATTATGTTACTTAGAATAACATTGCACATGCCGGTGACATGGAAAATGAAACTATTCGGAATGTGCAGATCACTGCCTCCCGACACCCAGCGGGAGACGGATAAAAATAACCACAGTGTTTTCCCCTCGGAGACCTGGGCCGGCACTTCCCCTGCGTGTGTGGGGAACAAAGTTGCGTTTCCCCTTGATGTTGCCCTTTCTAGCTATTTTTTCCTGCCTCTGGGGTGTGGAGCCTCTACTCTGGGGTCACACTACATGGGCTGGAAAACCTCGTGTTGTAAGCTCTAGGGTACCCTCCTTACCGCCCACTGTTCCGGGCAGTGGAGACGGGATTATTTACAGTTTCCCTGGGCACTGGGGTGGCAGTCAGGACATGGGGAACAAGTACAGAGTTTACCCGGGAGGTGCCAGATTTTTGACCTTGATGAGGCTGGCGTGGCTGGGCCGGACCTCCTGGGTTCTGTCTTCCTGAGGTACATGCTCTGTGGCCAACGGTTTAGTTCAAGGTCACCGTGCTGGAGTGGACTGGGGTGCCGTCCACGCTGCTCTTCGGCAACCGTCAGGCACCTCGCTTCTCCACTGGCGGGTGTTTGATGAGGCCACTGTGTCTCGTGAATCCTAAGCAGCGCGAGAGACCCACTTGGTGAGAGAGCAGTGAGCATCGGTGCACGTGGTGAATGCCTGAGAAATGCCAGTTGCTCTTCTGAGTAACATTGGTGAAGGCCTGAGTAGCGTCCTTAAAATGTCACTTAATACATCCGTGGTAAAGCCACAAGGAACGCGGGAGAAGCACAGCAGCCATCTTTTACTGGGTGATGCGTGCGGGGCCTTCGGCAGGGCGTTTGCTCACCTCTGCCCAGCAGCCTGCTTCTCCAGTCTCCGCAGAGACGGTCTGCCCCAGGCCCCGGGCCCCGGGCTGGGCTGAGGGCAAATGTGGGTCTGTCTGCTGCTCCCAGACTCACGTAGGCAAACAAAAACTTCCCTGGTCTCTGCAGCACTCAGAGTCTCACAGCCGCATTTCCGCTCCACGGAGAGGGAGGCAGCTCCGAGACCGGGTGGAGCCGTGGGTGCGGCGCACAGTGGGGGCCTGGACTCGGTGCCCGCGAGGGGCAGCCTCAGGAGGGACGCTGGCCTCTTCGGGGGGTGGGGGGAGCAGTATCACCAGACAGAGGGACAGTGAGCAGAGAAGCAAGCGTGCTTGCGGACACGCGGCCGGCGTCTGCTGAGGAAGAATCAGTCCCCCAAGAGGCCAGCGCATAGGACACGCCCCTCCCTCTCCTCTGGGGCCGCGCTGGGGCCCGGCTGCTGAGCCTGCCCGTTTGCATGTCTCCTAGAGGAACGAAGGCGACCTCTTCCACCGGCTGTGGCACATCATGAACGAGATCCTGGACCTGCGGCGGCAGGTGCTGGTGGGCCACCTGACGCACGACCGCATGAGGGACGTGAAGCGCCACATCACTGCCCGCCTGGACTGGGGCAACGAGTGAGTGCCGGCCCCCCAGGGGCATCTCGGGGGGCGGGGGGCGAACACCGCAGACAGGGGCGTGAGCTGATGACGTGTGGCGTTATCTCCGGAGGACACTGCATGGGGCTTTTCCAGTTGTCCGTCTGGGGGGATTTAGTACAAACTGTCATTGATGGAGTTGAGAACTGCACCTCCTAGGACTGGTCAGGGCGGGATGGGGCTGTCATCTGCTCCCTAGTCCCATGTGGCCTGATGCCAGCCCGTGCTCGTGAACGTGAACTGTTCCCAGGCGTTGTTAGACATGGCTCCCGCCAGGCTGCTCTGGGTTTCAGGTGGGCTGTAGGTTTGGTGAATGCAGTTCCTTGGAACTCACCCCTCTCCGTGTTGTGGTCAGAGGTCACCCACGCAGTCCGCAGGGGGACGCTGCAGACCACGGCTCGGGGTGGGGGAGGGGGAGGGGGAGGGGGAGTGGGAGTCTGCCTGCGGGGCCCCTCCTCACAGCCCAGACTGCTCTCGCGCATGACGATTAGCCTCTCTGAGGAGCCGCTTGGCAGAACACAGAAGCTGCTCTTGACGGAGATTTGCCCTTAAATAAAACTAAGTGACCATAGTAACAGCCACGTGAAATAGTAAATCGAATCACTTGAAGCTCTGATCGAGGCTGACACTGTGCTAAGTAAGGATGACCGCTAAAATGTGGGAGAGGAACGCGGAAAAGCCAGCTCTGACTCTAACCCTGAGCTCGTGTGGCTCTAACTTGCAGGGCGTTGAAAAGGTCCCTGAACATTGCCCTCCTTTCCTCTCCCAAACCTCCCTTTGCTATTTGGACCTTCAAAGGTCTTAGGGTGACGGAGCAAAGGCAATGCAGACAGCAAAGGGGAATGGCAGGAAGCACACCGTAGGGGAACCCGCTGCTTCTAGAAGTGGGAAAAGACAACTGGAGGCAGAGAGCTCTCCCCCTGCCCGTGGCAAGGTGCTCCCCCTTTGCTTCCTGCGGACTGTGACCTTCCAGCGGGCCCTCCTCGCAGCCAGGACTGATCTCGTGCACACAGGTCAGCCTCTTCGGGCCGGTCAGACCCCGTCAACCTCCATGGCACCCCTACTACCATCGGCGCTTTGTGGAGTGAGACATGCTATTATCCTTTTGCAGACGGTCAGCGGCGTGGCCCTCATTTGCTTATCTCTGGGCCATTCCTCCCTCGCAGTTTGGGTGGGGATGAAAAACACATCCCGGTGTGTGGTGGCCCCGAGATGATTCTTCAGGAACTGGCTCTTTTAGGGCCGGAGGCACCTTCCCGAGCCCCTCTGGGCTTCAGCGCGTTCACCTGTTGAGGGAGTAGGCCGGACTCGACGAGGCCCCAGGGCCCGCTTGCTGCAGGGCCGTGTGACCCACACTCGGCATTTCCCGGCCAGCCATGGGAGAGAAAGTCTTGCTGGGGGACACGGGGTGGGTGTAAAGGAATCTGGGTGTGCCCTGTGTGGCTCTGTCTTCCACGTGCTCCTTTTTTTTTTTATTTTGGAAAAACAGTTTCCACCAAATTGTACTGGCTCTTAGTCACGATGCTGGTCCCCGTTCAGAAGACCCTGTTTGTAAATAGAATGAAAGTGGGAGGAAGTTAACTTATCGAAACGCCAGTAACCAGGGAGCAGGCCGCAGGATCCTTTCCCAGGGTCAGGAAAGGCGGGGCCCGGGAGGAAAGGAAGGAGAAACAGGACTGTGACCAAACCCTGACTCCGTTTGGACTCCGGCAGTTCCAGCCTGCGCTTCGGGCATCTCTGTGGCTGAGTGAGCTGGTAGATAACACGGCGACGCGGGAACGCGAGCAGCGGAGCGTGTTTAGATGGTCCTCGAAGTCAAGCATTTCCTGCGCTCTCTGTTTTCTCTGAATTTCTTGGACTCTTTATTGAAAAATGACATGCCGCACACAGAGGGCGCAGGGGTCCCATTCCCCGCGGTGTTGGTCTCCTTACTGGAGAGCGCTCAGGGGGAAGCGGGTCCGGGCCATTCTTTCACGTGTCAAACTAGAGCCGGTTGCCCTACAAGGACTCGTCGGCACGTGGACCGTGGACGGCTGTGAGTGAGGAGTGTGTTCAGTCTCCGGCTGTCCAGCAAAGTGCTGAGTGGCGCAGCCACGCCCTCCGGGGAAGGGAAGCCTGCGGCGGGGGGGGGGGGACGGTGGTCGTCCACCCACCTGTTCCCTGGAGGGGCTGGGGAAAGAAGTTTTCTGTCCTGGGAGCCTCAGGCAGGAGTCCCAGAGTGGTCCCTGGGTCCGTTCCCTCGCGCTCCTCTGCTGCCCTTTGACCTTCCCTCACGGAGGGTGTGGGACCGAGCATTCGTTCCTCCCTCCTCCCTCACTCCCCAGAGCAGTTTTGGGCAAAACTTGACCCACCCCCCATCCCCCCAGGGGCATCCACCTGCCCGCTTCCTGTTCACCCCATTTCTTTCTCGTCTTTGCAAAGCACCGCTCTGCTCCTGCTCTGCGAGCCTGCAGACCTCCGACAGCAGGAGGTCGTCCTCAGGATTTCCCCGGGAACTGACAAGGCGGACACAGCTAAAACTCCCTCCACACCGCCGGGGTCCAGGAAGCCCGCAGCCCAGTGGTCGGGGCTGTAGGGGAGGGAAGTGCTTGCTCCCCGGCCCCGCAGCCCAGGAAGGTTCTGGAGCCCACACCTGCTTCGGAGCCTCTGTAGCTGGAGGTGGCCTTTACCAACGGATTGCGCGGTGGTGTGAGCCAGCTGCCCTGCACAGCTTTGCTTCCTTTTGCCACAAGGCTGATGCCGTGTGAATTCCCAGATGTAAATTCTCAAAGACGGAAGCTCGCTGATCCTGTCCACACTGAGAGGTTCATAGATGAGCTGCCCGCCAGCCAGTCCGTAGATGAGCTGTCCGTAGGTCAGGGGCCGACCAGTGAGCAGCCAGGTGTGGCTCTGGGGGAGGAGATGGTCAGAGACTAGACTGTGTCACCACCACCCCGCCCCCCCAGAAGGCAATGTGGGCAGGCCCCTCCCCTTAGGGGAGGTCTGTGGAAGGCAGAGGCCGTGACTGTGTGTGGTTTTGTGCCCTCTTGCCGTTGCTAGGTAATTTTCCCTCAGCAGCACTGACCCCCTGGAAGGTTATGTCTTATATTGCAGCCCAGTGTTTTCCCTTGGGAGGGGAAGGGGAGTGGGGCCTGGACCCCTCAGCACCCCTGGGGCCGGGCTGGGCTGCTCAGGCTGCCGTAACAGCATCCCGCAGACGGGCAGCTGAAACAACAGGCGTTGGCTTCTCACCGGTCCAGGGGCTGGAAGTCCATGACCAACGTGCCAGCAAATCTGGTGTCCGGTGAGGGCCTGCTTGTGCTGGCTTGCAGGGGACCATGTCATCACTGTCCTCACGTGGCCTTTCCTCTGGGCTCACATGAGAGGGAGAAATCCCTGATGTCTCTGTCACTTCTTATGACACCAGTCCTGTGGGGTCTGGGCCCCACCCTTAGGTCTCACCCTGCCCTATCACCTCCTTACGGTCCCTCTTCCCAGATACCGTCGTAGGGGTTGGGTTTCTGTGCATAACTTGTCGGAGGACACAGAGGCGTCCCCCCGGGGAGACCTGGGTATTTAGAAAACAAATGGTTGTTAAGCTTCTCAAGCAGAATCATAATTGATGGAAATTTAGAGACTATTTTGGTATCTGAACCACGATTTCTGCGTTTGAGAAGGCCACGGTCCCCTCCTCTCCTGAAGAACAAGCACCCCTCGGGCGGCCGGGGCAGCGCGTGGCTGGCGCAGGCGCTGACTCCATCACTTCTGTTTGCAACACCTCCGCTGCGGTTCCGGCGAGGGCGGCGGACTTGGGGAGTCAGGAACATGCGCAGACGAGAGGAAGGGCGGAGGACTTGGGGAGTCGGGAACATGCGCAGACGAGAGGAAGGGCGGCGTGGGCTGGGGGGTGCAGGAAACCTCCCGCGTTAGATGGAGCTACCGCGCCAGAGGGATGCGGAGGAGGAGCCTGGAAGTCGAGGGTCGCCTCGCAGAGAGCCGGTGTCGGGGCCTCGCTCTGCAGGGCCTGACAGAGGCGTCAGGACACCCGTGGGCTGCCCGCGGGTGGTTAAGGAGATGAGTGAAATGGTCTAGTAGTGAGAGCCGCGGCGCAGCATGCTCGCCCTGGGGAGGAGTCAAGGCCGCGGAGGGAGTCGGGCGGTCCCTCTGTGTTTCCTCTGGATGGAACTGCCCTCGGAAATGTCTCAGCACAGGGAGCCACATGTTGGCCGCCGTGAAACCTGGCACAGGGACTGCACCATTTCTCCCCACTGACAGTGCCGGTCCCCCGCCCCCTAATTTGCCCGCCTCTCATCATCTCCTGTCTCTCCGCCCCCCGCCTCCCCGGGTGCCCAGCCTGGTCACAGGGACACCCCAACCACGGCCATAAATGGTACCACGTAAGACACAGGTGGGAAAGCCCGGTGGCTGCTGTGTCCCAGTCCAGGTGACTAGTAAACAGTAACGATGGTTACGCAGCCCCTGAAGGTGACTGTTTGTGCAAACTTTGCCATTTGTGTTGCAGACAGCTGGGCCTGGACCTGGTGCCCCGGAAGGAGTACGCCATGGTGGACCCGGAGGACGTCAGTGTCACCGAGCTCTACCGCCTGGTAGGTACGGGCGGCGCTGGCTCCGCCTCCCCGTGATTCCGCGGTTTCCACGGCCCGCTCCGTGCTTTTGCCGGGCCAGTGAGGTGCTCGCAGGCCGTGCACGTTCGTCTGCTGTGACTCAGGACAAGGCGGTGACTAGCTGTATCTAGTCCTGGCTCCTCGCTGTGCAGCCTATTCCCCAACCAGATGCCAGAGTGTGCCTCCCCGGCCTCCAGCTGGGGCCGGCCCTCCCACACCCCAGTTGGCTTTCAGTGCTGAGGCCTGGGACTAACCGGAAACACTGGAGCATATTGCCCAGCCCAGTGTCCCCCAACTTCTTGTTTCTTCTAAAAACCAAGAAGTAGTGAGGCCTTCAACGTGGACTACTCCAGTTACTTTCTAGGCATCTGGGTCCTCACATGTGGTCCAAGCTGCCTTGTATCCTCAACACTTGTGTAGCATAGACCCGATTCTCCACTGGACCAAAGCTCTCTAGAAACCAGAAATCAGAGAAGAAAATGGTTGGGGGGAGGGGCTTTCAAAAGCCACACCCCCAGGTGCGATTCTAGTTACTGCTGTGGCTTTTGTTTAAAAAAACAAGGTTTTCAACTATAATATATACACAAAAAGGATATATAACCATCGGAATGTACTTCTCTGGAGAGAGTAGAGATGACTTTTTTTCCTTTGTATTGTTTAAATACATTCCAAATTTCTACAAGAGACATTTTGTGACCAAAAAATAAATATGAAAATACAACCCTGGTTATGTGAATGGTGTTTATCCTAAGCTGTTATAAGTTTTAAAAGGTATTTTTTCAAGTTTTTAATGTTATTTTTCCCACCACCATTTAGTCCCCTCAGACTCCCACCCCACCCCACAGTCACCACGCTGTCGTCCGTGTCCCTGAGTCCTCTGTCCTTTTTGTTCAGACCCTCCACCTCCCAGCCTCCCCCTCACCACTAGCTGTCATCTGCTCTCCATCCATGAGTCTGCCTCTGTTTTGCTTATTAGTTCAGTTTGTGCGTTAGATTCCACCTATGAGTGAGATCACATGGTGTTTGTCTTTCTCTGACTGGCTTACTTCACTTGGCATAACGTTCTCCAGGTCCATCCGCACTGTCGCAAAGGGTAAAACTTTCTCCTTTTACATGGCTGAGTAGTAGTCCATCGTGTCCATGTCCCATGGTTGTTTTGTCCGCTCATCTCATGGACACCCGGGCTGCTTCCCCATCTTCACGGCTGTGGCTGTAAATAACGCTGCAGTGGACACAGGGGTGCGCCTGACCGCAGTGTCCCCAGAAGGGGCACCTGTGGTAAATACCAGGCTCCTTCGCAGAGGACCCTGCCTCCGGGGGTGTCGCTTTCCCAGCCTGCGGTGTCTGCAGGGGGACATCCTTGACCTAGACTTGGTGTATCTGAGACGTGCTGGGAACAGTCATCCGGAAGTTCGAGAGGACTGGTGTCTGATTGGAGAAGGCTGTTCTTAATTCCCCTTTCAGTTTTCCCTTGACCATTGATCTGTTTGGATTATCTCTGTGTCCTTATACCAGTTGAAATAAATTATGTTTTTGGAGAGGGTTTCCTTTACATTGAACTTCCTAGAGTGACAGTTCATGCTTGAGTTTACGGCTGCTGGGCCGAAGGTCTCGTGCGGACTGAGAGCACAGTTCACGGTCAGCTGGAGGGAGGCAGGGAAGGAGGGAGCAGTAGAATAAGAGTGTTCCAAGTTAAAGCCCTCACTGCCTCTTCGTTTTTATAATAAATCAAGTCCGTGTAATTTAGCTGTCAGTCATAGCCTCTAAGGGGCCATTGTTTTGAGTGTTATATTTTGTCTCTCACTGTTTTTTCTTTTTAAATCCCTCAGTCTGAAGTTTCTTTAGAGCGGGCACTGCATCTTACATTTCTCCCATTACACCCGAGACCACCGGTACAGTGCTCTGCACTCAATAAGCAGTCAGCCTTTCTGAGGTCATTACAGGGTCATGAACAGACCGTGGCTGTAGACCAAGCAACGGGATGTGACTTCCACCCCTTCTGTTTGCCCGCTCTGTGGTCTTGGACTTACTGCTTCATCTCTCAGAGCCTCAGTTTCTTCATCTGTTCATTGGGGTTGTAATTCTTACCATGGTTTTTAAAATGAAGATTAAATAAGAGACGCAGGTAGAAAGCATTGCCTTGACATGATGTTTGCAGAGTGCTTAAGCATTCACTTGATTTTCATTGTTTTCTCATATTTAGTTTATCCTTATTAGATAGGCAAGATGTCCAGGATAATGCATACCTTCTATGATAAAGCTTAAGATTAGATTTGGCTGTGTTTCATGAAATGAATAATAAATCTTGGACATGATAGGAATTTGGTTCCCTCTCACAATATGCAATTCTAGAGGCAACAAGTTCTGGGCTTGTTTGTGGTGTCCTGGTGTCCAAGTGAATGCACACTCTTATCTTCCTGCTGTGCAGTGCATGGCTTCCGTCAGGAACACTTCAAAGTACAAAGTAGCTGCAAGAACACTAGCCATTGCATCTGCTCTCCCGCAGGAAGGAGGAGAAAGCTTCCTCTCAGTTGGTTCAGCCCCTTCAATGAGCCTTCCTGCCAGTTCCGCACAGCATTAGCTCTTCCATCTCATTGGCGGCAGCACAGTCACGTCCTTGTGTTTAGGTGAGGGTGTCAAACATCTGATTCAACAATGGGCAGCATCTGACACAGGTGCATTGCATGTTCCCTGGTCTGGTTTCGTGCGCCAGCCATTTTATCTCCGTGCCTTTTGTGTCATGGCGCCTGTGGAACAGAGAATTGACTTCCTCTCTCAACATTTCCCATTTGTCAGTGGTGGCCGCTGGGGGTGCCACATGGACAGGGCAGGATGTCATCCGGGCTGTGATTGATGGGCAGTGACTATGATCGGTGTTTTTGTGTGTTGTAGCCCAGCTCCTCATCCACAGCCTCCATTTCACAGGCGAGGGAAGCAGAACGCTGTGATTTCCCACCAACACGGAGTCTCCCCCGAGTCGTGGTTGTGTTTCTGCAGCCAAGGAAACAGCCCCAGGAAAACCCAGGGGACTCCATTCGGAGGGGCCTGTTCGCTCCCCCGAGGCAGCTCCGGGGGCCCGTCCCACCCTGGCCCGGGGCTCTCAGGTCGTGCGTACGTGACTCTGGGTCTGCTTCTCTGGGCCACCTCGGAGTGAGGGACAACACTGACCTCCCAGGTTCCCAGGGAGTGGTGGCCGGCGCCTCCCCCTACCGGCCCCTTGTTCCAGTTTTGGCGGTTGACCGTCCCCCGAGGCTCGGGGACCGTGGCCTGGAGCCAGCGGCCCCTACAGAGGATGCTGCCGCTTCTCTCTTTCACTGCATCTTCTCTGTGTCACTTTATTTTTTTAACATTTTTTTATTGTTGTTCGAGTACAGTTTTCTGCCTTTTATCCCCTTCTCTGTACCTCTTCCAAACACAGGTGTTAGCATCCCACTACGTCCATATTGCATCATTAAAAAAAAACCAAAACTCTTGTTTAGGCTTTTGACCGCCTGGTTAGCAGATCTTTCTCGCCTAATTGTGCGCAGCTAAGCAGCGAGAAGCGCCAAACCCCACGGTGCTGGCATATGTCCTCCTGGAAGGTTGGGCTCCCTGCCAGCCGGGCCCCGGTTTCGCTGCGAACAACGGGATCCTCAGCAGCTGGATTCTCTGGCCGTTTGCAGACGGAGGGTCTGCGTAGGAACCTTTTGTGGCTTTATGAGATCACACTACCTGCTTGTTTTGTGGTCCTTAGAGGGTAGACCAGGGCTTCTCCAACAGAGGCAATTCCCCCTGCCCTTCCCCAAGGTGTCTGGAGACAGCTGGGATGGGGTGGGGTGGGGGTGGGGAGAGGTGCTTCGGGCGCTTCTGGTGGGTGGGGGCCAGATGCCGCTGATCATCCTCCACAGCCCAGGGCCTCCCCGGAGCAGAGAAACAGCAGCCCGACAGTCACTGCTAGTGCCGAAGTCGAAAAGTGTGATGTCGAAGTCTCACCAAGTAATGAATGCATTAGATGAGGTGACACATTTGCGCCACTTACCCCTTCGGAATGAATCTGTTTGTGTCCCTAATCGGCACTCTAGCTGAGCTGTAGGTACGTTTTGAGTCACCGGTAGGTGGCTTTGCAACCATAAATTATTTCAGAGATGGGCTTTTGTCTGTCCGCTGCAGCTCCCAAATTACAGCTCACGCAGCGTGAGCGTGCCTTTTGAGTTGTGTTATGGTAGCGGTATTTTCACAGATATTTTTCGTAGCTCCCCAAAGTAGTGAATTTACCAAGAGGTAAACAAGTCATCATCCCTCCTTAAGTCCAAACCCTCCCCAGACCTGGAAGAAGGGAGGGTGAGGGCAGAGTGTGGCCGTGGGGGGCCCCGAGTTCACGTGCACGCAGAGACCAGCCGTCCCAAGGTGCTGCTCGTCACACAGAAGAGACGACAGCCCGCTTTCTTTCAGCTGTGAGTTGCATCTCTGCATATGATTTGCAACCAACTGCCCATTCAAGTCACCCAGGGAGCTTTTCAAAGTGCCACCGTCTGCAGCCCCGTCCCCTAGAAACCCTCATTCAAGCATTCTGGGATCGGACCAGGTATAAGGATTTGTGAAGGGCCCCCCTGGTGACGGCGCATGCGTTGAGGCTGGAAGCTGTGATCTAGGTGTGGTGGGAGCTTTGCAGGAGGAACGGAGCTGGCGTTTCCCTCGGTTTTCCGTGAAGGGCAGGACTGATCTGGGAACCTGGCAGTGAGTCAAGACCAGACACCTGGCTGACGTCCGTTCCTTTCCTCAAGTTTTAAAAATAGGCCCCTGGCTCCAGCCTTCAGGAGTCATTCATGTCTCCACCGTAGTTTGTGCCGTGCTACCCCAACCTTCGCGTAAATCAGGAAGCTGGCAATTTCAGGGGGGAAAGCTTATTTGTGAGTCAAAGAGATGTGGTTTTCCCCTGGCTGGCATAGCTCTGGATTGAGCGCAGGCTGCGAACCAAAGCATCGCAGGTTCGATTCCCAGTCAAGGCACATGCCTGGTTTGTAGGCCACAGCCCCCAGCAACTGCACATTGATGTTTCTCTCTCTCTCTCTCTCCCTCCCTTCCCTCTCTAAAAATAAATAAATAAAATCTTAAAAAAAACTGTTTAAAAAAAAAGAGATGTGGTTTTGTGACTGCTGATGCCACCTCTGCCCTGGTGGAAAGAATTTAAAAGCACAACACAGAGCAACCTTCGTAGAAAACAGGGCAGAACTGTGCCTCTTCCTAGAGTGAGAAACCACCCCCCCCACCCCGGAACTTCTTTCTAGCCATGATGACCAACACATCCCAGAAGGCCGAGGTCCACTTTAGAAGAAAGTGTACTTTTTCTGGACTATACTTGCAGAGAGACGCCTGTGGCGCACTGTGGATAGACAGTAATGATAGATGCGTTTGGCCAGTTGTATTGCTTTAACCATTTACTCTTGGGGCAGTTCAGAGGAAAAGGTGAAAGCAGGAAACATTCCGGTGATTCTATGCTGTTGCATTCCCAACTAAGTTTCGTTTAAACTTAGTTTAAATGTGTACATTTAGATGACGCGTTTCTGCCTTGAGATACTTACTGGCCAGCCAGTCGGCAGTTACCGCAGATGCTTGGAAGCATGGAAAGGTGGCTCATGTAGAAATGGGTTATAAAACTCAAACGCAAGGAAAGGACGTGACTCCTTCACCGTAGAGTTAAAACCCCAGAACTGTCTTTTTTATTTGCCAAGTGATTCAGAGAGAGAGCCCTTTGAGTCGTCTGTGTTCTAAGAGCAAAACTTCTCCGCATCTTTTGCACCTGTCGTGTTAACACACACGCCTTTGTGTGTGAGCCTAGCACAAAGCGGCGAGTAAGTGGTTAGAAACACTTTCCACCGTGATGTTTCCATTGTGTTTTACAAAATACTGGTCTGCGGCGGGTCAGGGGGAGAAGCACCTGGTTGCAAGCAGTTTGAGAAGCGCTGTCCTGTGGTTCGGGGTCCCCGCCCCCACGGAGCTCCGGGCTGAAGTGGCGCCACCCCAGGGCGCCTTCCAGGAGTGTCCAGACACAGGGCAGACCCCACTCCCCCCGACGGAGTGTCGTGCGAGCGTCACCTGGAGCTAGTTCTCCCCGCCACCCGCGCATGGCACCCACGGTCTAATGTTCGGGTGAGTGGCAGCATTGTTGAGGTCCACCCCCGCTGGCCGTCTGCCCCTGGTTTTCCTCGCCAGCGCCCTCCCAGTTCTTGGCGCGTGCTAGACCCTTCACAAACGCGGGGTCAGTGAGTGGGCAGCCCCACGGTCTCCTCCCTTCCGGCCCTGCCTCCCAGGGGCAGCCCAGGAAACTGGCCGTGTTGAGGACAGAAATGACAGGCGGCCCGATGGGCAGAAACACCGTTCCTGCCGTTAGACACCTCAGTGGAGCCCGCAGGTCCGTGTCCACAGAACCCCCAGGAAGTTACAAACGTTTTCTGGGTCTGGTACTTGGATATTGTTTCGAAAGCCTGCCTCAGAAAACTACCGTGATTGTGCGATGTGGTACACTTGAAAAGAACTTACGAGCAATTGTGAAGTCTGAGCTACATTGTGTAGCTACTACCGTCAGGGAAATGGCAGTCAGATATATGGGAAGTTAGTCTGGCTTTTTTAGAGATGACCAATAATTTGTTCTCGCCCTGGGCGTGAGCGGGGGAGCAGGTGAGTCCTTTGAACTTCATGCTGGAATCTACTCAGTGCATTGGCACCCTTTGAACGTGAAATTAAAAAAACCAAATTCTGAATGCAAGATTCCTCGATGGTTTGCCAGCTTGATAGATTCTGATTTCAGAAGTTGGATGAAAATTTGGAATGTGATATCTAACTAGATACCAAGTCCATAGGAAAAAAAATTGCAGACGGTCTTCAGCTTATAAAGGTTCGACTTAAGACTTCTGGACTTTACCATGTGCACATGGAGAGCAGTGCACATTCGGTGGAACCCATGCTGCAGATTTTGACTGTTTTTTTTAAAGATTTTATTTATTTACTTTTAGAGAGGGAAGGGAGGGAGAAAGAGTGAGAGAGAGAGAGAGAGAGAAACATCCATGTGCGGTTGCTGGGGGCCGTGGCCTGCAACCCAGGCATGTATCCTGACTGGGAATCGAACCTGCGACGCTTTGGTTTGCAGCCCGCGCTCAATCCACTGAGCTACGCCAGCCAGGGCTCAGATTTTGACTTTTGATCTTCTCCTGGGCTGGCCCAGGTGGTGCGTCGTCTCTCATGATGCGGGGCAGCGGCGGGCACAGCGCCCTTGAGCTCCGCGATCTCGAGGGCCGGCCACCGACGCCCTGCAGCGCCCTCTGTTGCCCGAGTTTTGTGGACAGTGTGTTTGCATTTTCGCCTCCCACGGCGCCCATCTGTGTCTCCTGCTCCTGGGGAGAGGAAGAGGAAGGCGACGGCTCTTGAGGTGAAACTCAAAAGAGTGGCCCAGGGGAGGCCAATGTATTTGTTCCGAGCACACGCACGGTGGGCAGGGCTGAGCTTGACATTCCACAGGTTACACTTGGCCGATGCGTCCTTCACTGGGCATGCTTCCCGCTCACGATGAATGTATTGGAGGTGACCCCATGGAAGGCTGAGGGGTGCACCTGGGTAGCGTGGGACGTCACGGGCACACCACGGCTCACGAGTTGGTCCGGTCCCATGGTCTGCTCACTGACCCCGTTTCCGTTGGGGGGTGTCGTGCAGATGGAGCACCGGCATCGGAAGAAGGACGCGCCGGCGCAGGCCAGCAGCCACCACCTGTTCGTGCAGATGAAGAGCCTCATGTGCTCCAACCTGGGCGAGGAGCTCGAGGTCATCTTCTCGCTCTTCGACAGCAAGGAGAACCGGCCCATCAGGTACCCACACGGGGGCTGCGGCTGGCTCGCGGGCCTGGCGGGCGTGGGCGTGGGCGTGGGCCATCGACAGGCTTCAGAGAGGGGCGTCGTGCCCGCGTGGAGGTCTCCCGGGAGGCGCCGGGGCCCCGGCCGGAGCTGGCAGGTGGGGAGGAAGGGAGAAAAGGGTGCATGTACACAACTGGGGTGTAGGGCTGGGGTTGTCGGGGTTTCTCGTACAGAGAACGCAAAACACTTTACGTTCTGGGCTACGGATGTCTCCTCCGGCCTGCATTTCAAAGGGTCCGCCGCGCTGTCTGGTGGGAGAACGCGTCCCAGCGTTTACGCGGCGCGTGGGCCTCCTAATCCTCCCCGTGGGGGTGTGTGTCAGCTAATTGGCAGCAGGCTGGGAGTCACTCGGGCCGGTGGAAATCACAGGGCTCACTGGCCAACCGATCCTTTGCTTCCTGCTGCATTCCAAAGCCTCGTTAACTCACATTACACATCCGTTCCGGGGCTAACCCGAGACCGCTCCTCATTCTCCGCAGGGAATGTGGCTCCTGGGACCGGCGTGCGCCCGAGGCCGCGGAGCTCCGTGCAGGGCTGCCGCGCGCCCCGCCGTGGGCTCGCGCTTTTATCTGAGACACTGGCAGCCGGGGCCTTCTGGGAAAGGTGCCCTCCCGGTGATCGGGCACAGGAGTCTTATCCTGGCGACTTAATTAAATTCAGTTTCTGCTGGGGCCTTATTCACAGACTTTCCTGGGGTCATGTGTTTTTCTACCATCCTACAGCTGAACTCTCCATGTTGCTTGAAATGGTTTATTTCTCTATAAATTTCATGTTGCCTTATAATTACTTTCTTTTGAGTATATGCTTTCAGTTCTGTCGCTAAAGAAATCGTGACTAGTGCTATGTTATTGGTGAGGCACCAACAGTTTTTAATGTGTGCTCACCCCTAACTGTGGAACGTGTCTGAGCTTCTCCCCCTCCCCAAGGTGCCACGTGTCTCCCTTCCCCTCGCACAGGCGCCGCTACCTGGGGTGTACGTGCCCGGGCTGCGGAGTCAGCGGGCCTGGGTTCGAATCCTGCCTTGGCCATTCTGTAGCTGGGCCAGTCCATTTTCTCTTGTGGCTATTAACTTGTCTGCCAAATGAGGATAATTATAGCACTTTCCTCGTGGGGTGGTTGGAGCATCGATGAGAGAATACCTCCACGTCACAGGGTCATGGCGGACACAGGCCGGGACCAGTCAGTCTACCTCAGCTATCGGGGTGACGGCGTTTTAAACCCCTAAACAGGAACTACCCTTGAACGTAGCCAGAAGTGGCATGTGGTGTTTGGTCTTGGATTCTTAAAGAAACGGTGTACTCCCAGGCACTATTGTCGCTGTTCAGGTACACGCTGGTACAGGTACGCAAGGTGGGGAGGGGCATGCTGATGCAGTGCCATCAGGGAGGTGACGTGCTTTACAGCATTTCAGCCACAGAACAAAGGAGACGAAAAGCAAAGACAGAACAAATATGATCACATTTCCTGCTTGTGGACTCCAGGGTTATGTGTGTGGGCTCTCGGTTTTACTTTCATGATACAGTCTGAATGGCTAATGAATTAGCTGCTTAACATTGATGGATGTCGCCCATAAAAATGCATGTGGGCCACAAAGAGATTAGGACAGGCATTTTTCAAATCTCTTTAAAGAAGACTGGTCTATTAGTCCGGTAGGCACTCACCCTACAGATGGCCTGGCGCCCACACCACCTAGGGTGACCCCGCTGGGCCCCTGTGAACTGGCCGTGGTGTTTTTGATGATGTACTTACTGGGCAGAACCGAAGAGGAATGTTTCCCTGATGGTCTAGGACATTCAGTATTACAAGAGCAAATATTACAATTTAGCCTTTACGGCGTAAGCTCTGACTCACAGCAAAGCAGGAGGCGGGGAGAAGATGGGTGATCTGTGGGCGGGAACACCTGAGGTGCCCAAGCAGAGCCCTGCGCCTCCGCCAGGACCTCCGTCCCAGGGACTCTGAGTCAGTGCAGGTCCACCCCCCTCAAGGCAGAGGCAGCTGTCCCCTTACTGAAGGGTGTGCTCCCTCCTCCTGCCCTGCCCCCGCCCTCTCATCGCACAGGGGCGTCAGGATAGTGGCCTCGGGTCCACAGCACCAGGCCCCGGGGCACGTGTGAGGAGTCACCTCTGAAGCAGAGGAAGGGGCTGGGCAAGGGAGACGAGCACAGCGGCATGGGCGTAACCGTTGTCGCGGAGGAGAGGCTGGGCGTGCGGCCAGACCTCCTGTAAGTGACGCAGGGGACCAGGTCGTCTGCTGCTGGAGAGCAAAAGGCAGACGGGAGGGAGTTCGGTGCGGAGAGGGAGGACACAGGGGACACAGGCTGTGGACTCTGAGCCAAGTGAGTCCGGGACAAGTAATGCACTTGCTGAGTGTTTGGGGGCCCCGCCGGCGGGGAGAGGCCCGTGGAACTGGAGGGAGCCCGGCTCTGCAGATGCTCTTGCTCAGGACGCGGGGTCGGAAGCAGGAGGCGGGCGGTGCTGGAGGCTGAGTGCTCCCTGTTGGGAAAGGGAGCGGACAGGAGCCTGGTGCAACGGCGAGGAAGTTCACAGGCACGGCGACCGTGGCTTCCGTAGGTCTCTGCAGAGGCTGGTGTCATCCAACGGCCTTTTCATTTGTTAAAGGACCTTAAAGAACTCATGTTTCTTACTGGACCTTTTTCCCAAGAGCTTACAGAAGGCAGCTGTCGGAGGGGAGAGTTACTCAGCCCAGGCTGGGGAAAGTGCTGGTACTTGGGTGTGTATATCGTAGTTCGTCACTCATTGTGATTGTGTAGTGCTCTGGGCGCCGTGCTAGCATTTCTCATTTCGTGCGTCACTGGCAGTGTATGGTGGTGTCATCACCCATGTTCGGCACCCTTTCCCGATGGCTTTCCACGTTGAAAGGGAGTGGGCATGGGGCTCTTTTTCATGGCGTCACGTTGCATCACTGACTCAAAGTTGTAGCTGCTCCCAGCAAAGCCGGGCTGCTGGGAGAGCCGGGCTGGCCACGTCTGCGGGACAGGCACAGGCACAGCCACAGCCACGCGGGCGCTCGGAGATTCTCCCCGGATCTCAGCCATACCACCCGTCCATGGGGCCCAGAGCGCTTCCGGCTCTGCCTGGCCGAGCAGGGGTCGCCGTGGGTGTCTCTACGTCAGCCACCCCCAGTGACCTTCCCTCACGTCCTTTTCAGCCCCCTCTTCTCCATTAGATTCTGCCGGCAGGTGCCTGAAAGCTGAGATCGTGGTCACTTGGAAGTTAATTACATTTCTCGGTTTATTCCCCCTTAGTCACACTTCTGTGTCACACAGCAAAACAGCAGATAATTGCTTTAGAGATGTGGTGGTGTCGTTAATGGGAGGGAGCTGAAGAAATGGCCCAGGAGGAAGGTCCAAATTAAAACAAAAACAAGCAAGAAATAACTTTATTCACAGGGAGAGCACCCAGGGTGGAAGCGAATCCAGCCTTTTTCTCTGTCATTTGAAGAGCCAAGTAGTTCCAATTATTTTTGAAATTGTAAATTACTGCCTTATTATAATAATAAGTGGCTGGGAATTTCTCATGGCAGAAAATGCAAACTCCCAGAGTAAATGTATTCAGAACTGGCTTTATTTTCCCTTGTAGCTCCAAGCTCTCATGCAGGCCACTTGTCCCTTTTTTATTTAAACAGTGAGCGGTGCTGTGTTTTAGAATGTGACCAGTAGGCTCTTCTGCCTCCATTCCTGCATCTTAGAAGACAGCCAGATTGGTATTCTTTCCGCCGGGATTCTGGTCACCTCTGCCTCCTCCTCTCTTGTGTCTGGGGCCTGCAGGGCATTCCGGTTAATTTCGTTTTCCCAAATTCCCTACAGAACACATCACAGCCACACGGACCAACCACCCGCAAGGAGTTCTCTGGCCTTCAGTGCCTTCACGCAGGAAGATGAGTCAACATTGACAGAGGGGTGGTTGGCGGTACACCCCTCATTAGCTCCTTTTCCAAAAATAAAGCTCGACCCTCTCACCACCCCCCGTGTCCCCAGCACCTTTCAGAGCAGAGCGCTTGACCCAGAGGATGCTGGGAGCCCGTCCTCGTTGCAGAGACGAGGCACTGGAGAGCAAGTTACTGCCTTAATCTCTCCTCTCCTGCTGCCCGTCTGTCCGGGGGGATGTGCTTCCTGATAAGCGAGAGAAGCGGGGGGCCCAGTGCCCACCGGGATCGCTTACGGAGCCGCGGCCCGTGGCCCGCGTTCCTCAGAACCGTGCCCTCAGCCCTGTCTCTGGGGGAGTGCCTTTCGCAGAAACCGTCACGCTCAACAAAAAGTCGATGGAAGCGGGCGGATAAATACAGAGCATTTCCTCCCCCCAGCTCTTTCCGTGCAGGGGTTTGGCCTGCACGTTCAATAGACCGCATCTCCTCTTCATTTCCGCCGAACGTCATTGATTTCTCGCTCTCGCTGTGGAATCATTGATGTTCGTTCAGTCCGCAAACAGCGACTGCTCCCTGCAGGGACCGGCCCCGCCCGACCTGGGCGCTGGGGACACATCGGGGAATAAAACGGGGGGGAGGGGGGAGGACGCCTGCCCCCCCAGGACTTCCCTTCGACTAGTTCAATCCCATTCGGCTTCAAGTCAAAAGGCGTTGTTAGAGGTTAGACTTCGATACCACCTCTCTGTACGGTGACCAGCAGGCTGTTCTCATTTCACAGGCATACTGGCGGTGTGTGGGGCAACGCTGCCTGAACTTCCCAGGCCTAAAGCTCCCTCCGACCCAGTGAAAACCGTAGTCTTGCACCGAAAACACTGGACCTGTTCTTAGACACATTCACATTTGCACATCAGCTTAGAGACTTTGTGGCTTCCTGGTTAGGAAAAGGATTTGCCCTTGCGTAAGTCCATGTGTCTTCTAGGTAATACATACTATTTAATGATGATTTAATTTTTATTTTTTAAAGTTGTGATAAAAATAACCTTCAGTAGGCTGTTGGAAGGGAAATTGGA